AAAAACACCTCTCAAAGATCTGTGGTTCTATGACTCAAAAAATGCTTAAGTTTAAGACATGTAAGTCTCCCCCTGTTTTATTGAGATGTTATTGACATATAGCATATGTAAACTGAAGGTGTACAACATGATTTGATACACGTATTACACTGAGAAATGATCACCACAGTAAGGTTAACTCTGTCCTGTCACATAATTGCCACTTCTGTGGTAATAACTTTTAAGATCTACTCTCAACAGCTTCCCAGTATATCCTATGGCGTCATTAATTACAGTCGCAGTGCTGTCCCTCAGACCCCTACAGCTTACGCATCTTCTAGCTGGACATTTGTATCTGGCCCTCGACAGCCACCACTCTTCTCATCTTTGAGATTCTACAAGAGTGAGAACATAATAGTACTTGCCTTTCTCCCACTTACTTCATTTAACCCTTAAGGTCCATCCATGTTGTTGTAAAAAGTAGGAATTTCTTCTTTTTTATGGCTGAATAATACTCCATTGTGTATGTGTATGTATCCCACATTTTTTTATAATCCTTTATCAAGGGAAACTTCAGTTTCCATGTCGTGGCTATTTTGAATACTACTACAGTGAACATGGGGATGCAGAAATCTCAAGGTAATTTTTTCATTCCCTTGGGATACATACCCAGAGCTGGGTCATGTGGTAGTTCTCTTTTTAACTTTTTGAGGAACAGCAATGCTCTTTTCCATAGTGGCGGCACCAACTTACCTCCCCACCAGCAGTGCACAGGGGTCCCCGTTTCTCCACATCCTTGACAAGATTTGGTATTTCTCATCTTTTGGTAGTAGCCATTCTGACACGTGAAATGCTCCCTCATTGTGGTTTTGATTTCTATTTCCCTAGTGAGTCATCATGTTGAGCACCTTTTCGTGGACCTGTTGGCCATTCCTATGTCTTTGGAAAAATGTATATTCAAGACTTGTGCCCGTTTTTAAGTTAGGTTGTTTTCTGCAGTTGATTTCTATGAGTTCCTTATGGATTTTAGCTACTAATCTTTATCAGATAGTTTGCAAAATTTTCTCCCATTTGATCACCTTTTTATTTTGTTGGGTTCCTTTGCTATGCAAAAGGTTTCTTCTAGTTTGCTAGCAGTCCCAGTTGTTGATTTTTCTCCTTGTTTTTAGTGTCACTGCCAAACATTGTTACCAAGACCAGTGTCAGGGAGCTCTCCCCGTTTTCTTCTAATACCTTTACAATTTTGGGTCTGACATGTAAGTCTTTATTCTTTCAAGTTAATTTTTATGAGTGGTATATGGGCGGAGGAGGACCAGTTTCATTCTTCTGTGCATGGTTATCTAATTTTCCCAATGCCATTTACTGAAAAGACTGTTCTTTCCTGAGTCTTGTGGACTCCCTTGTCAGATATGAGTTGACTGTATGTGTATGTGTGGGTTTATTTTTGGGCCTTCAATTTTGTTTTATTGGCCCATGTGTCTGTCTGTTTTTATGCTAGTACCATACTGTTTTAGTTATTATAAGCTTTTATTAAGATTAAAATGAGGAACTGTGCCTCTAACTTTCTTTCTCTTTCTCTTTTTGTTTTTGGCTATTCAGGATCTTTTGTGCTTCCATACAGAGTTTGGAGTTTTTTCTTCTCTGAAAGTTGCAATTGGAATTTTGAGAGGAATTGCATTGAATCTATAGATGGTAAAATGCTTTTACGATGTGATTAAGTCTAAAATGTGATCTAGGAACAGTGTTGGCTGCAGCCTTTAGCAAGACTAGACGAGTTTGGCTCAGTTCTACACTTCCTATCTCCATGATTCAGTGGCAACTTCCTTCAGAATTGTAATTCGTTATTTTTACCGCATTCTAGGGCTTCCCTGGTGGCTCAGTGGTAAAGAATCTGCCTGCAGTGCAGGAAATCCAGGTTCGATCCCTGGGTCGGGAAGATGCCCTGGAGAAGGAATGGCAACCCACTCCAGTCTTCTGGCCTGTAAAATCCCATGGACAGAGGAGCCTGGTGGGCTACAGTCCATAGGGTCGCAAAGAGTTGGCCATGACTGCATGACTAAACTTCCAGGTTTGAAAGAGTAATGTTCTTTACCCACGGTTCCACCGCGGTGAATGTGCGAACACTGGAGGTTTTCTGCCTTCACAGCATGCATGGAACAGTGAGACAGCGCTTGACTTTCCTCGCGGTTGCTGGGCTCACATGAATAGTGATCACACAGCTTTGGAGGTTTCTTCACTCTCATTTCTGTTGATACTTCACTGTACAGGTAAACCTCATTTCATTGTTCTCTGCAGGCTCTGCCTTTTTTTTTTTTTTTACAAATTGAAGATTTGTGGCAACCCTGCGTTGAGCACGCCTACCAGTGTCATGTTCCCAACAGCATTATGTTTAAATTAAGGTCCATACACTTAAAAAGAAAAACTAATGCTCTTGTACATTTAATAGACTGCAATATAAAGGTAACTTTTACACGCACTAGGAAATGAAGAAATTCATGTGATTTGCTTTATTGAGATATTTACTGTCGTGGTCTGGAACCAAACTAAAAATATCTCCAAGGTAAGCCTGTAGTTTGGAAAAGCCAACTTCTGCCTTAATAGGACAACTGTGAGGCCCCACAGCTTCAAGCCGCCCAGGGGTCAAGAGTAGTAGTGGTTACCTTTACCTAAAAAGGGATGAAGAGACCTGGCTCGTGATCCCTGATGCTCACCCATGACGGTACAGTAAGGCAGAAACCACTTGCTGGCTATGGGTTTTGGGGAAAGTTACCCTCTGTACCTGTTTCCTTGTCCAGCACGTTGACTGTAGGTAGCCCTGTGGAAAGATGCCCCTGAATCAGGAGCACCCAGCTAAGCCACACAGGTTTCTGACCCATAGAAACGCTGAGATAGTAAATGTTCTCTGTTTTCAGCTACTAAATTATGGGATAATTTGCTTTACAGCAATAGATGCTATTTTGCAAAGATCAAAAGAAATGGGAAAACTGGGTTCCTCCTCACTGTTTTTAATGGCTTTTCAATTACTATTTAATCACTAGGTTAATCATTAAGATTTTATTGGCTTTTCTCTAATCATCACCCTCTTCTCCAGATTGGTATCAGTGGGCTGCATTTCTGACAGCAAGTCCCACCGTTTTTTCTGGGTCATCTTCTCACCAGTCTGGTTTGGTATCCAGATACGCAAATTCTAGGCAGTAATTCATACTTGCTGTTTCCTAACAGGAGGCAGGATCTAGATTTTCTCTGCTCTAACAAATGATTCTTTGTGTCTTCCTGACTGGCTTCTGCCATGAAGTAGGTGGTGATGATAGTTAAAACCTTCATAATTTCTTAATTATTTCCTGCCCATCAGTCTATCAATTAATTTACATTCACATACTATTTGTCTCTTTAGTGACCATCTCTCGAGATTAAGGCCTTGGAATTGATCCCCTGGGATTACTTAAGCCTCAATAGAAATCCAGCTTGGACAAATACATGCCATTCCTGGACATGTCACTCATTGTTAGAGGACATTTAAGTAAAACAATTATTTGATTTCTTTCTTTTATACTGCTTTTGCATTTTTCAAGATGTTAAGAAAACTAAAAAAACTTACCTTGATTTCTCTAAGTTTTATTAGGAAGCATGCCTACATGTGCTGCGTATTTACAACTCTCCTAAGAACAAGCTAAATTCTCATAGCCCTGGCATGTCCATCTGTTGTAATGTTCATCTTCCCCCACTGTTTACTGAAGACACAGTCAAGAAGGCCCCTCGACTGAAGTGACCTGTACCTTGGGAAGCACAGACCGTGGAAACACAGCTGTACCCAACCAAGGCTGGCCCAGCTGGAGATGGCAAAAATGAAGTTGTGTTTTCCCTTCTCTAAGGAAGAACTGCTTCCCAGGGACAGGGCCATTTCAGAGAGAGGACTGACAGACAGTCAACTCTCTGTAAAACCTGAGCAGGTAAGAGTTTTACAGTGCTACAATTCTTGGGTCACTCGAGCCCGCTGTGATGCTCTGCTGCTGACCAGGCTGGAGGGCTGACTTCCAACTGAATTTCAACCAGTCTGAACAGACGGTAAGAATTTGCTTCTGCTGTAGGCCAGTTCTAAGACTTGTGTGCTGCTCCCCACCCCCCACATTTAAATACTTACAGAACTGGCACGAGTGTGACAACTGATGCTAGACTAGATGGAATCTGGAGAATACCTGTTTCACACAATTCCATTATTTCAGATGCAGGCGTCTTGAGTTACTGTGCAGTGGAATGCGGAGCATCTGTGGGAAAGGCAGTGACAGGGGCGAGTGAAGCCTGGCTCAGGCTCCCCTCTCCCCAGACGGCTGAGGTCAGTGTCAGCGGCCTGCGCTGCTTTCCATACAGATGCAGCACCCTTTTGTACAACTGAAGAAATATTAATGCACACACCAAACTAAAATTTGCCAAGTTCAGTTCTGTGTATTTTCATATTTTTTGATAGATGCTAAATGAACGCATAAATTTTAGGTTCAACAGAACACAGCTACTTCTATAAAAAATAAATTTTATTAACAAATTGAGCTCACATTATACAAGCAAAATGAACCTTTGCTAATTTCTTGGCATCACCTTTTTACTAGGTACAGCACTGTAGACATAAAACAAAATCAAAGACTAGTTGCTCCGCCTGAGGCCTGTGAAACTGACAAACGGGCCACAAGTCGTCATCCTTCATGGTCCTCCCACCACTGACCCGGTGCAAAGCTGCGGTCACTCTCACTCCTCCTCAGCCTGCTGCCTTACCTGCCTGGGGAAGTCAGGCCTGGGAAGAACACACGCCTCAAGTTTAAAGGGAGAGCGCTCTCCTCGAACAGTGCTGAGAAGCCAGACTGGGCAGTTCTGGCTGTGACTCCTGAGAAGGTATCTCAAAAGCCGCTTCTTCATTCCTCGAGCCAGAGACCCGCCAGCTGCGGGTCTTCCCTTCCTCCGCTGGGGGCTGGCAGCTGCAGTGAAGGACGCGGGGGTCCAGGGATGTGGAGGTGGCGCGGGCCTTCCCCTCAGAACTTCTGAAGGAACTTGAGGACCAGGTCCCGCAGTCGGACCCGGAGCACCTCGTCGTCATCACAGATGATGTGGGTGGAGTCTTCCTCAATCTGGATGAGGGTCTCAGCTTCCTGCAGCAGGACAATATGGCCCTTGGCTGTGTCTTCCACCTTAATGTCGCTGAAGCCGTGCTGCACCAAGAGAAGAGGGACAGGAGGGCATTTCAGCATCTGCGGCGCTGCTTTCCCTGGTGCTCACACGGTGGGGAAGGAACTGGCCTGCAGTACAGGAGGGTCAGGGAGATGCCCTGGAGGAGGAGAATCCCACAGACAGAGGAGCCTGGCAGACTCCAGTTCGTGCGATTGCAAAGAGTTGGACACAACTGACAACTAATACTTTCACTTTCCTTTCCAGCCTGGGCTACACTGAACATTCTAGAAACTGGCATTTTGGACTCTTCTCAATACAGTTCTTCAGAGCAGTCCCAGGACCTACTACAGCAATAGAATTCCAGGGGAAGCCCCCAACCATGCAAAATACAACAGAATTCCTACCACCTGCTTAAGTTTTTGTGTATCATCTGAGGAGCACATCCAGACACCTGGGTTCAGGAGGCTGGGTGTTCCATCCCAGCCTCCTGGCCACACCTGTGGTCCCTGTAAAAATGCTCCACCCTGTCCCAGGAAGATGCCTGCATCACGGCAGGTACCAGTGACCTTGTGATCTGGCAAGTCCCTCCCAAAGGGGAAGATGAAGCAGTGTATCAAATACTTCTCCAGGGCTCCCTCCAATGCTAACTCAGAATTTCCTTACACATCAGATGTAAAGTTGAAAAAGAAGAAAAGAAGTGGAAATAAGAATGATTTGCCTGAGAAGGACACAAGATAGGTAATAATCATGACCTATGGAGGTTCTCCATCTTTGGTGCAGGAACTGGAGTGGGAGAGTCATCGAGTTGGGTCCTAGAGATGAATTCCTGGGAGAGTCAGACAGAAGTAAATAAGATCTTTCTGGGAAAGCAAGGCGTTTCAAGTTTTGAAGAAACAAGTGAGGCCTGAGTCCCCTCAGTACAGCTGGGGGCGCCGCACAGTCAGAAGGAATGCTGTGTGTGCACGGCACACGGGGTCCCCGGGGGTGTCTCCATATCACTAGGGGTCAGGGAGCCCAGCAACTCGGGGAAAGCCCTCCATTTGAGGAAACTAATGACGAGTGGAGAAAATTCCCAACAAAGAGAAAGCCTTTAAGATTGGAAAGCACTCAGCAACTGAGTTAGTCTGGACAAAAGGCAGTAACTAACTTAGAAGAAAATCTGTTTTCCTGGAATGGTTTCTAGTGTTAACTGCAGTTCTTCCTGTAAGAAGCAGCATGAAAAATACGATCTTTAGCCAATTGCTCCTCTTTTCTGTCAAGGACTCTCTAATTCTGATGCCAAAACAGTGGTGACTGAAGCCAGAATTACAAAACACTTTCAGGTTAATAAATTCTTTTTCCTTTTACTTGTAGTCATGAAATCTATTCCACCAGCCACCAGGGATGAAGAGTGGGAAGGCTGCTGAGCTGCGGGGGCGGGGGGCGGGGGGGAGACCACCATCCTCCACCATGACCACCTGCTTCTCTCTCCCATGACCCTGTCTGGGAATCACTGGCCCGCTTCCCGAGCTCCAGGGGATCAGGCCATCCTGACCCCTCTGCCCACACCACACCCCAAGAGCCCCAAGACTGGCGTCTCCTCTGAGCCGGCCATGCAAAGGGTCTTTTTGTACAAAGGTGCGGCCCTAAGGGGGCAGAGCCTTCTTTCCTGGCCAGCCCCCTGCCCCGTATGTCACAACTGTGTTTCTGAAGAAAGGCCCCTCCTCGGTCTGGTTCCCACAAGAAGTGGGTTTGGGGGGCAGTCTGGTGGCAGCCTGGTAGTGGGGGTGGGGGGAGGAAGGGCCGGGAGAGGAGGGAGCAGGGCCCCTCTTAACTCTGCAGCTCCGGCCTGGTTCGGGCGCCGCCCTGACCGAGGACGGGCAGATGCTGCGAGGACAGCGCATGGGTCAGATGGCACATGCGCGGCACGCCCACGCCCACAGCGCTCACCTTCTCCAGCGTCTGCACGAACTGGTCCACGGGGATGGAGCCGCTCAGCAGAGGCTTCAGAACCTTGCAGTCTGGAATGTCGTCACTCGCCCGCTTTCGCTTCTTGCCGCCTGTGGGCTGGGCGGGCCTGGGCGGAGGCTGGGCAGGAGGAAAACGGGTCTCGTCAAGAAATCACCCGGGAGCCCCAGGTCCGTGCAGGCCACCCGCGGGACCCTCTTCCTGGGAGGGCGCAGGGCCTGGCCCGGTGCCGCTGTTTGTGCCCCGTGTCAGGGGGTCTGTCTCCAGCTGGGTCTCCACACAGTACACAGAAGCTAGAGCCAGCTATCCACAGAATCATCATCTTAGCTGATGATTCTCATCATACCTTCCTTTTAGCAAGATCCGTTTTTAATTTTCAGTCGACTCAATTCAGTCATATCCGACTCTGTGACCCCGTGGGCTGTAGCCCCCCAGGCTCCTCTCTGAGTAAATCCTTAATAACCCATGCTGGCAGCTGAGCCTGGGGCAGCAGTGCCAGGGCTGTGGGGCCGGACTGACTGGTCACAGTCCTTCCGTCGGGAAAGTGAAGGGCAGAGGAGCTGCCTCTACAGAGGTGATGGGAAGGAGAACTTGGTGAGGCCTAACTGAGACAACGGCTGGGAAGGGCCTGGTCCGGGGCCCAGCACTGTGAGTGGCATCTACGGGCACACAACCCGGGGCACGAGTGACAGAGCCCAGCCCTGACGGGGGTTCTCAGGAGGGTGAAGACAGGGGCCCAAAGAGCTGCCCTCCAAGGTGGCAAATGTGCCCTGAAGTGAGGCGTGAGGCTGGGGGGAGATGCCCTCCACCTGCGGGGGCTCCCCAGGTTCCCGGCCCTTGGCCTGACTGCTTCGGGGCCCCCGAGGGCAGGGGCTGCATCAGCTGTTGGGTCCACCTCCCCTCCCACCTCAAGCCTGCAGGCTCAGGGCCGGCACCTGATGAGACTCTGTCTCCTGAGCACCCACCAGGGGAGCCGATGCTCCTGGAGCTGTGATGGTTCCAGAATGGTGGGCGGCCCCGTCCCTATGAATAATCGTTTCTCCTCCCTTCTCTCTCCAAGGCATGTGGCCAGAGAAATAAGTAGTGCCCTTTCCTTCAGATCTGATCCCTCAGGAAGTCTGCCCTCTACTATATGCTGATGTGGGAAGCACTGTCCTGGGGGCTGGCTGGGATGCCGGCACCTTCTCAGGAGGAAGGGTTCCAGGCCCCACAGTCCCTGGAGGTTCCTCCTGGAGCCCAGCCCAGCCTCCCCACGCTACCTGAAGAACGTGCTTGTTATCTTTGGTGTGCAGCACAGCCGAGACGGTTGCCAAGGAAATGCCAGGCTTAATCTCCATGGGCACCAGCGAGTCTGCAAGCTGGGAGCAAACAGGGGGGTTTCAGTCAGGTTCCCTGTAAACCGGGGACAAGAGAGTGCTGCAGCCGTGCTGCCCAGGGTGAGGGGCTAGGAGGCCTTGCTGGGCCACCATGCAGAGCTCAGGCATGGATGGTGAGAAACCCAAAGTCGTACAATGATAGCAGGAGCCTTTAACACCCCACTTACATCAGTGAATAGATCGCCTAAACAGAAAATCAGTAAGGAAACACTGGCCTCAAATGATACATTAGCTCAAATGGACTTAACAGATACAGAGACATTCTGTCCAAAAATAGCAGAATATACCTTCTACTCAAGTGTACATGGAACATTCTCCAGGAGAGATCATACATGAAGCCACAATACAAGTCTCAGTAGATTTTAAGAAGACTGAAATCATATCAAGCATCTTTTCCAACCATAATGCTATGAAACTGGAAATCAACTACATGAAAAAAACTTACACAAGTGCATGGAGGCTAGGCAATGTGCTACTCAACAATCAATGAGTCAATGAGGAGATCAAAGAAGAAATGAAAAAATACCTGGAGACAATGAAAATGTAAATACAATGATTCGAAATCTATTAACACATGCTTGTATGGTCATTTATGACAAAGGAAGCCAGAATATACAATGGGGAAGACAGTCTCTCCAATAAATGTTACTGGGAAGATTAGACAGCTACATGCAAAGTCTTGTACTATGTAAAACAAACTCAAAATGGATTAAAGACTTATAATATAAGACCTTAAACTGTAAAACTCCTAGAACAAAACACAGGCATCTTTGACACTGGTCTTTTATCAATTTTATTTCTGGGTATATCTCCTCAAGTATGGAATTCAAGAGCAAAGATAAATGAGACTGCATCAAACAAAAAAGCTTTTACACAGTGAAGGATACCATCAATAAAACAAGAAGGCTGCCTAGGGAATAGGAGATGGTATTTACAAATGATGCACCAGATAATCCAGAATTCACAGAGAACTCATACAACTCAACATACCCCCTCTGAAAATGAGCAGAAGACCTGAATAGGCATTTTTCCAAATAAGACATACAGATGGCCAATGTTACTAATCATCAGGCAAGTGGATATCAACACCACAATGAGGTATCACCTCATACCTGTCAGAATGGTGGTTGTCAAAAAGACAACAAATAACTGGAGGTGAGAATATAAAGGGGAACACTTGTACACTGTTGGTGGGATGGTGAATTAATGGAGGCGCCAATAAATGCTGGAGAGGGTGTGGAGAAAAGGGAACCCTCTTACACTGTTGGTGGGAATGCAAATTAGTACAGCCACTATGGAGAACAGTATGGAGACTCCTTAAAAAACTGGAAGTAGAACTGCCATATGACCCAGCAATCCCACTCCTGGGCATACACACCGAGGAAACTCTATCTGAAAGAGACACGTGTATCCCAATGTTCATCGCAGCACTGTTTATAATAGCCAGGACATGGAAGCAACCTAGATGCCCATCAGCAGACGAATGGATGAGGAAGCTGTGGTACATATACACAATGGAATATTACTCAGCCATTAAAAAGAATTCATTTGAATCAGTTCTAATGAGATGGATGAAACTGGAGCCCATTATACAGAGTGAAGTAAGCCAGAAAGATAAAGACCAATACAGTATACTAACACATATATATGGAATTTAAAAAGATGGTAACGATAACCCTATATGCAAAACAGAAAAAGAGACACAGATGTACAGAACAGACTTTTAGACTCTGTGGGAGAAGGCGAGGGTGGGATGTTCTGAGAGAATAGCATTGAAACAAGTATACTATCAAGGGTGAAACAGATCACCAGCCCAGGCTGGATGCATGAGACAAGTGCTCAGGGCTGGTGCACTGGGAAGACCCAGAGGGATGGGATGGGGAGGGAGGCGGGAGGGGGGATCGGGATGGGGAACACATGTAAATCCATGGCTGATTCATGTCAATGTGTGGCAAAAACCACTACAATATTGTAAAGTAATTAGCCTCCAACTAATAAAAATAAATGAAAAAAAAAATTAATGGAGGTGCTATGGAAAACAGTGTGGAGGTTCCTCAAAAAATTAAAAACAGAACTACCATATGACTCAGCAATTCCATTCTTGGGCACTTACTCAAAGAAAACAAAACACTAATTTGAAAAGATATATGCATTCCTATGTTCAGGGTAGCATTATTTACAATAGCTAAGATATGGAAGCCACCTAAACATCTCCTGATAAATGAATGAAGAAGATGTGATACACACACACATGGGATATTAGTCATAAAGAAACAATGAAATTTTGCTGTGACAACATGGACAGACCTAGAGGGCATTATGATAAGTGAAATCTAAAAAGCAAAACAAATGAACAAACATAAAAAAACAAACTCAGTTATGGAGAACAAACCAGTGGTTGCCAGAAGGGAGGCAATGACCAATTTCTCAAATAGGTGACAGAGACTGATTCAAGGGGATGAAACGTACATTATAGGAAATACTGTAACAGAATTAAGTGTGGTGATCATTTTGTAATGTAGAGATATACTGAATCACTATATTATTATGCACCAGGAACTAACACAGAGGAAGGTAGGTCAATTATACCTCAATTTAAAAAACAAAGGCAGGTGGAGGGGCTTCCCTGGTGACTCAGGGGTAAAGATTCCACCTGCCAATGCGGGACACACGGGTTCAGTCCCTGGTCTGGGAAGATCCCATATGGAGCAGAGCAGGTAAGCCTGTGCACAACTATGGAAACTATGCTCTAGAGCCCAGTGCCGCAACTACTAGGCCCATGTGCCCTAGAGGCCGTGCTCCCCAGCAAGAGAGGCCACTGCAATGAAACCAGCACGCTGCAGCCAGAGAGTAGCCCCCACTCACCACAACCAGAGAAAAGCCCGTGCAGCAAGACCTGGCACAGCCGAAAATAAATAAATTTTACAAAAGAAAAATATGGAACAGTGTGAAATGTTCCCACTGAGAGACACGTGTGCTCTAGGCTCCCGGCCATGCCCATCCACAGATACTGCTTTCCTTCTGACGCGGCACTGACAAAGGTCAGGCTGTGGGCAGAACTGTAAGGCCAAAGACCCGGCTGGGGAGGCTCACAGATGGCAGTGTGGGAAGCGAGCAGGCGGCGGACTCTCCCTGGGCGGCCCCAGGAAGAAATTCATCTCCAAGGAGACTGAAGTGGCAGCTCAGCCACAGGGAACTCTATCCGGAACCCACAGACGACTCAGTGAGGACACCTCTGGGAAGGAAGACGCGTTCACCAGCCACCCCGGAAACAGAGGTTTTCTTTTAATGGAGGCCCCTGAGGGCTGACGTCAGCGCTCCCGCTTTGCACATGCAGGGAGGGAGAAGGCGGGTCTACAGGGGAGCTGATCTGGGGGAGAAAGGAGCATCCGGAGCTGATCTGGGGGAGAAATGAGCATCCGCTAGTTGTAGCAAAACCGAAAGAACCATGACAGAGTTTAACTCCTTCCTCTCACATGCACTTCCCAGGCAAAACCAAATGATTCTTCTTGTTCTCTCTCTACATCCCACACACAAAGATTTATGTGAAAGCATGTTTCTAAAAGTATTATGTGCACTTTGAAAATGCAAGAATAATAAATGTCCACCAATAGAGGAACAGTGAAATGATGACACATTCATGATAGACCATTATATAGCCCAAGATGCTTTTCAAGTATCTTGAATGACACAATATACTTACCTTCACATGACAAAGATATTATATGATACATGATTTAAACACACCCACAACACAGTGGACAAGGCAAATACACAAAAATTAGAATAGTAATTATGTTCGGTATTCAAACTAGGATTGACTTTTTTTCTTTTGGTCTGTATCCTTTTTCTCCTTATTTCCCAAGTTTTCCAGAATGAACAAGCACAGAGTCATACAAATTAAAGCCTGAGAAGGCTCAAGTGCCTTAAAAACAAAAGGAGACTGTCCAGAGCACTGCTTCTTAGGCGAGAAGCAGGGATCCCACCTGGGCTCCTGAGACTCAACATTCTGCCTTCCTTTTGCCTTTGAAAACTGACACATGGTCTCTGACACCAGTGGTTCTCCACTTTTAGCGGGCATCAGACCCATGTGAAGGGCTGGCGGTAGAAACCCAGATGCTGGGCCTCACCTGGAGTCTCTGACTCAGCTGGACTGAGGTGGGGCTGGAGAAACCTGCATTTTCAACACGTTCTCAAGGCTGCCGCTGCTGGTGACAGTCACACCGAGCACCCCGCTGCGACCCCCACGGGAGGGCATGGGTCATGTGCCCCAGCAATGCCACAGCCCAGATCAGTTGGGGGCTCTACACTCACTGGGGTTAAAGGACAAAATCTTCAATGGAATAAAACCTTTAAGTTCTACTAAAATGCGTGCAAATGATGATCATGCAAGGGATGTAAACTTTCCTTAATTTCTGGTTACTGTCATGTCCTCCATCTGTTGCTGAATTCAGTGAGACCTGACCCTCACTGGTAAATGAGGTCCAGGAAGGACGAGAAAGCCCGCAACCCTAAGGTGGCTAATGACAGAGCTGACAACAGCATGTTTGTTCTCCAGGCTCTGACCCCCTGGGTGACACAGTGAACTGTAATATAAGCAGCACAACAGCAGGCCTGGTGTTTACAGCTGTTACTTCATTACTGGAAACAGGAGGAGGGGGACTTCCCTGGTGGCCTGGCAGCTGAAACTTTGCACTCCCAGTGCAGAGAGCCCAGGTTGGATCCCCGATCAGGGAGCTAGATTCCACATGCTGCAACTCAGAGTTCACAGGCCGCAACTAAGACCGTAGTGCAACCAAAGCGGCATCTCTGAAAAGCTCAGCTCTCTTCCCGGTTATCTGCTAAGGAAGGGTCCATGTACCTTGGTCCATCCATGTGTGACATAAACCCCAAAGAAAGCCACCCCAGGACGGTGTTCCAGAGACTCAAGAGGAAACCCGGGGAAACCCCAGGAAGCCCAACACTCACCTCTGGCATGATTTCGATCTTCTCGTACCGACGCTTGAAGGGCAGGGCGAGGACCTCGGCGCGCCGATAGGACATGGCGGGCGGCTGGCAGTCCACCATGAGGTCCACGCGGTGGGACTGCGCCGGGGGCGGCTGGGTGTACTGCTCGGGACAGACCACGTGGAGGGGCTGAGGACCGAGAGGGAGGAGGCCGTGAGGCGGCGGCAGGCCCAGTCCTGCCTCACCCTCCCCCAGCCGCCCAGGCTCACTCATGGCCGTTCCGAACGCCCATCCTCTCAAACCCAAGTCACCAGGGACCATGGTGTGTGCGGAGAAGCACAAAGCTTTCAAGGAAAGCCATGGTGATGAGCAAGGGACTTACTCCTCATCTCGCATTTATTTTATTGTTTTCTCACTCTATTTAAGTCACTGGAAGCTGACATCCGTGGGTCTGCTCTCAAAGGCCCTCCAAGTCCCTTGCGGGCAGCCTTTCTGTCACTTAGCAGCTCTGACTAGCACCCCGACTAGCTGGTGAGGAAGAACTGTGACTTTCTGCGCTTGTTTGGGTTTCCGGTCTGGACCTGAGGTCCACAGGTCCTAGGCAGTGGGCGATGGTCAGGCCGTGTCCTCAGTTCTGTAGGACACACCAAGTAAGAATTTTTTGTTTTTTGTTCTTATAAATGTCTCCTTTTATCATCTTGGGAGAAGAATAATTAGGGAGCCAGTGTTTACTTCGGCCAAGTACCACCCAACCGCCAACTGGGCCCAGGTGGTCCTCATCAAAAGTAATACACTGCGTACGCTTGCTTTTCCTTCCACTTGTGATTTCTTTTTTAGAGCAGAAACCTCTTTCAGGGTGCAAAGCCCACTAGTTTGGAATCTGGAGGGTACCGGGCCGAGCACCCTGGAGGCCCTGGGGGCGGGGGTGAGGACGTCCAGCCCTCGTACCGCAGAACAGACGGCACAGAGGCACCAGGATGCGGGGCGAGCGGCACAGCGGGCCCCCCGCGGCCCCCGCCCCTCGTACCTGCACTTCCTTCAGCAGCTTTGACACCTGGATGAAATTCAGCCGCGTGTCAATGGGGCAGTAGATGCATTTCATGGCCAAGGGCTGGTAGGGAGCCAGTGCTTCCAGGTACGAGAAGTCGGGTTCTAAGGGGAACACAAGAAAGGAAATTCAAAATGAAGGCGATGGGGACTTCCTTGGTGGTTCAGCAGCTAAGACTCTGTGCTCCCAATGCAGGGTGTCTGGGTTTGATCCCTGGTCAGGGAACTAAATCCCACAGGTTGCAACTAAGACCTGGTGCAGCCAAGAAAATAAATATTAAAAATGAAAGCAACAGAGGGGTGGCCACGTGATGAAGCAGCTGGCGTGGTCAAGGCCCAGTGGATGGAGAGCAAGACAGGAAAGGCACTGCAGGTTACAGGAGGCAGAGTCCTCACGGTGGGAGAGAGGAGTGCTTTCTGGCTAGAGAGAGGGAGACGCTGGGCTGAGCGCTGCAGGCAGGAGTGTGAGCTCTAGGTTTTCAACACTGACAGAGATGAGGCAATGAAGGGATACATAAGCGAATGAGGGGGAGGGGAAAGCTCTTTGCAAAAAAAAAAAAAGTCATGCGTTGGCAGCCATCGCAGGAATAATTTATTCAGACCAGAATCATCAATAGATGCTAGAAAAATTAGATAAACCTCTGGGGAAGACCAGATGAATAGACAGCCTCAAAGTGTCCCCCAAGAGATACCGATTAATACAAAAGCAGTGACTTCACAGAGGAGATGTCCAGCCCAGGTCACTCAAAGCAAGAGCTCAAAGATCACCCCCAGGCAAGAGACAAATCCCATGCCTCCTACTTGACAGGATGCAAGGAAGAAGAAAAAGAAGGATCGTGACCCCGCATCAACAAGACGCCTGTGCTGAGGCTGCGGGGCCCATCCGTAGCGCCACTCCAGCGCCCAGGAACCATCCTTGCCTCACTGGCCGGTCTGTTCTCTGTGGAGCCCCCACTGGAGCCGGCCTGCCAAGGACTGTTTACTCTAATCGAGAAAGCTGCCCACCTCGGGCCAAAAGCACTGGCTCAGTCCTGGCATGAAAAATGACCTGTAGGTCCTAACACAGCCTGTGCCCTGTGAGCACACCACTTTCTGTATGTGGCCCCTGGCTTCCACGCACGGCTTCTTGCCTGGGAAACTCTGGAGAATGCAGAGCTTCCAGGATTTTAAATGCTCACTCCTCCTGTGGACCCTGTCTACTCAGGAAGAACCCAGAAACCCCCGAAGGAGCCTGACCTGCCTGGGGGATGACCTCTCTCTGATGGATACTGTGTGACTCTGTATGGATACAGTTCTCAGCGGTCACAAACCAGAAAAAGTGGCCCAGAACCTAGCGGACGCTGTACATGACACAGCTTGTGTTCTGGAAGTGCAGCACACCAGTTTAAATATAAATTCCTGATCCAGACATGCTGGGTGACGCACGTCATGGACAGTCATGTAGCCCTTGCTTTCTTTTCAGCTGGCTTAAGGGAAATTTCTGGTCTTGCAACACTTCTGCGCCTTGTCCTACCGTGCCCACTGTCACGTCAGAGCCAACATCCCTCAGAAAGAACAGGAGCGACCCCTTAGTCCTACTGCAGAAAGTGTTCTCCAGATGACTTCCTGTTTAGCCGAACCTGGCAATCAATGGTAAGGCTCTGGGCGGTGTGAATCTTATAGCCTGACTTCCTTTGCCTGTGGCTAAAAGGGGCCCTGGAGGGAGAACAGCTGCCCCCACCAGGTGCTCCTCCGAGCGCTTCCATCACTCAAGGCCAGGCCACGTCCTCCCGCTGCACATAAACCATCCCACACGATGCCGATGTCACAAAAGGCTGCTCGGTGACCACCATGGATCAAGACCGAAACAAGGCCCTCTGTAATCATGCCTGAACACAAGACTGCAACTCTGTCCAAACCTCAAACAAGCAAATGCCACCCTGTCTTGGCTCTGTTCTTCTAACCCTCTAGACAAGAATCAAGATGTCCAACTAGAGAACTACTTCTGGTCCTGACGACACCCAAGCCAGAGCAACACGTCCACCTCCAAGATCACCCAACCCAAGGCCCAACCGGTAAGTTCTTTTAACCATGTCCTGTGATGCCTCCCGCCTCCCCCTGGCAGTCTCCCTGACTCACTGCAATGAGTCGGCACCCAAGTTTGTTGCAACTGGTCCTTTCCCCACAGGCTTTTGGGCCAGGCCTGGTAAGAGCTCCTTCCTTATAACATTTCACTGAAAGCACAGAGCTGCCCGAGGAGGAGCCACCCACAGCCCCATTTTACAGAGAGGTGAGTAAGCTGGCTGAGGTTACAGTAACTCCACCGAGATTTCTTATCAAGGCTTTTTACTTCAATACCCATGTTTCAAATCCCAAGACTATCCGAAGACCGTGATTGGTAAGATAATGATTAAGTAAAACCCCTAAGGTGCTCTCATTAAAGGATTAGCTTTATTCTGAGGGGTTCATCTCCTTAAGAAAAACTGCAAGCCAGCTGCTGCTGTTGCTGCTAAATCGCTTCAGTCTGTCCGACTCTGGGCGCCCCTATGGACAGCAGCCCACCAGGCTCCTCTGTCCACGGGATTCTCCAGGCAAGAATACCGGAGAGGGCTGCCATTTCCTTCTCCAGACCAAAGCAAACTATAACCTAAGGAGAAAGATCCATCTCAGTCAGTAATTCCTGACTAAAGGGTGAAGCAAGACTGATCACTGGAATTCCTGCAGTTTTTGAATAGCTTACAAAATTCTGTCAACAGTAGTTCTAGACCAGAAATCTGTCTCGGGGACAAAATCTACAAAAACAGCTATAAAAGCCCTGTCCAGTGCACATCATCTAATGGGACATTTTGTTTTGTTCTTCTCCTCCCCCTGCTGATTTATCCTTTGGTATTTACAACGGAATAATGATCTAAAGGATTGTTGCTTCTGATCTGTGGTGTTGGAGAAAACTCTTTGAGAGTCCCTTGGACAGCAAGATCAAACCAGTTGATTCTAAAGGAAATCAACCCTGAATACTTATTGGAAGGACTGATGCTGAAGCTGAAGCTCTAATACTTGGTCTCCTGATGCCAAGGGCTGACTCACTGGAAAAGACCCCGATGCTGGGAAAGATTGAAGGCAGGAAGAGAGGCGGGCGACAAAGGATGAGATGGTTGGATGGTATCACTGACTCAACAGACATGAGTTTGAGCAAGCTCTGGGAGATGGTGAGGGACAGGGAAGCCTGGCGTGCTGTAGTCCACAAGGTCACAAAGAGTCAGCACAGTCACAACAACAGTGACATATTTACGCCTTCCCAGGGTCTCTACGAGGTTGTAACATCCTACAGGTATTTAGGGATGGCCCCAGTGGGAAGCAACGGGTTTCGTCTGCTGGCTTACTTACCCGTGAAGATGACGGTGTTGAGACTCGACTTTCCCCAGAGCTCCATGAAATGGACCACGTCCCCGAACCGGAGGGAAGGGTGCCCAGTGAAGACCACGCACGGCTGCCTGAAGTCGTTGCTGAAGTCCCCATGGATGCTGGCGTAGTGCTTCAGCTTGTTGGTCTGAATGAGCTAGAACATGTGCCAGAAGCACACGCAACAGGAAGAGGTGTTAGCCTGCCCGTGAAGGAAGCGCAGGAGCATGGGAGAGTGAGTGGAGCGCATTAAAAACACAGGATGAGGATACAGGTTTTAACCTATAATGTGCCTTTCTCCAACAACGGGTCTTTGGGTAACATTGGTCTATGTGTGTGTGTCATTCAGTCATGTCTGACTCTTTGCGTCCTCATGGACTGTGGCCCGCAAGGTTCCTTTGTCCATGAATTCTTCAGGCAAGAATGTTGAAGTGAGTAGCCATTCCCTTCTCCAAGGGATCTTCCTGCCCCAGGGATCGAACCTGGGTCTCCTGCATTGCAGGCAGATTCGCTACCATCTGAGCCACCGGGGAAGCTCTACAACTGTCATACTTATTGGAAACTTTCATTCAGGCTGTTCTGGCTGGATTCTGTCTAACCCTTCCTTTATAGCTTCTTGACACTCTGAGCCCCAGGCCCAGAAGTCCCCCAGAAGTCTTTGGAGTACAAGTAACTTTCCCAAACTCTGTGCATCACTTTCTGTCAACAATTAACACCTCACACAAGAAACCGTGTTTCCCAGCACAGGACCACCGCCTGAGAAGGTGAGCTGTGTGACGGCACCGTTGGCTTGCAACCAAGGCTTGCAGAAACGTGCGTGGGAGAAGTGATGTCCTCCTGACAGAGAGCTGTGGTGAGGAGCAGGCCATGCATGGCTTCACACCTGTCTCCAAAAGTGTATGTTCTGAATCTTAAAGGTCCTCTTTTCAGTACAGCACCTGGAAATACTCTCCTGCCAATCAGGCCTGACCCAAGACAGCACCATATACAGTGACCACCACAGATGGCATCTTGTGACACTGCTCAGAAGTTCTTCATGCTGCCCCAGCCCCACTGCTTCACTCTGGCACCAACAAGTCAGATGAGAAACACCCATACTTCAGAGACCCTCAATATCAACTAGTATTGCCTTGAGAGGCTTAGTGGTAAAGAATCCGCCTGCAATGCAGGAGACCTGGGTTTGATCCCTGGGTCAGGAAGATCCCCTAGAGAAGGGAATGGCGACCCACTCCAGTATTCTTGCCTGAAAAATCTCAGGGACAGAGGAACCTGGTGGGCTACAGTCCATGAAGTCGCAAAGACTCAGACACGACTTAGTGACCAAACGACACATTGCCCTGAGATGCTGTCTGATGGATGAAGAATTGCCGTGAGGCATTGCTCGATCCTGTAGTTACTCCTAATGCATAGGAGGGGAGCCCAGGCAACAACTCCAAGCCCACCTGTCGCCACCCCAATGGTGAGGATGAGGCGAGAATGGGGCCATTCCTAAGTGGAAACACAACTTTCTTCACTATGAAGATTTAACCTTTAACTCTGAGAGACTGCTTTCATTAGGAAGACCACCCTGGAGGTCTTAATCAGGGGTCACATGCTTGGCTGGGATATGAAGAGTAAAGATGGAACACTCATTGCATTCTTACTTCCCTTCCTAGTTACATACAAATAAAACTGACATTTTTTATAACCTATGTGGCCCAAATCATTACTCGCCCCAGTTAAACAGATAAATGGCTGACTAAAGGACCAGTTCTCTTGTACCCACATGTGTCAAGGAGATGATTGGGAATCTAAGAAGAGCATAGGTCTTTGCACATAAGTCACTTTTTAGGCACCCTAATTTTTTCCCCCCATTATATCTACTTTTCCAGCTGACTTACTACCTTTTTGACCATCCAGAATTACCTTTGTGCTGATTTAAGGTCTAAACTACATAGGCAGTGAAGCTGGAGGTAGGAATTCTGTAAAGCAGTTTTTTATCAGTACTAAAGGCAGAAGTGTATTTTCTCATGAGCACTAGACACATGATACTATCAATTCCATCACACCTTAATATCAATAAGCACGTATTAGGAACCCTGATTGTGCAACTCTGGTCTTTTCCCATCCCTAACTGTGAGTGGGACAAAGGTCATTTGTGACAAACTTGTGGGTAAGAACATGGTAATACCCTTAGAGATCAAGTTCTAAGGAAAGGCTAACTATTACTAGGGGAGAGGCAAGTACACTTTCAGTGGTGAAGTCCACCACCGAGCATTTGCTACACTTAACTTTCTGACATGATTAGATTTCTACTCTGAATTTCAGTGTAGTAATGACAGAGTTTGCAAAAGCCTTGGCTGCTGTTAAGACAGTATGAGGGGGGCCTTCCTGGTGGCTCAGTGGTAAAGAATCCGCCTAGCCCTGATCCGGGAGGATCCCACATGCCGTGCAGCAACAGCCTGTGCGCCACAACTACTGAGCCTGTACTCGAGAGCGTGGGAGCCACAACTACTGAAGCTCCTGGACCCTGGACCCTGGAATAAGAGAAGCCACCACAAGGAGAAGCCGGAGCGCTGCAACGAGAGAGTAGCTCCCGCTCTCCGCAACTAGAGCAAAGCCCATGCAGCAGCAAAGACCTAGCACTGCCCCCTTCCCACCCCCAAAAAAATGACAATATGAGGGCTGCATGGGACTTCCCTGGAGGCCCAGTTAAGACTCTGCCTTCCAAGGAGGGGGTGCAGGTTCAATCCCTGGTTGGGGAACCAAGATCCCACATGCCCCGTGGTGCAGCCAAGAAAATTAAAAAAAAAAACAAGACAGTATGAGGACTGCAAATAACTTGCTCAAAACCTTCCACTTGATGTCCTAGTTAATGAAAGACCCATCCTTGGGAGTAGGAAAACAGTAGTAAGATTTAAAATAATTAGCAGGACACTTGTTGCAATTTACTCTTGAGTCAAACAGTTAACTGCATAATAAGTCAGTCAGCGAAATCCCTATACATATGGACCTGCACAGATGTACCTAACTGGATGGCATTTTTCCAAACCGAAAACATCCGTGTTCCCGTTTGCACATCAAGAAACAACATCACCAGCTCCTCAGAAATGCCCCTTGTCTGCTTCCAGGTCCTGCCTGCCCCCACTGCTGTCTCTGTGATGACCACTCTCCTGACTTCTAATACCAAAGGTGAGCTTTCTGTATGCGTGAAAGTGTTAGCTGCTCAGTCGTGTCTGACCCTTTTGTGACTCCATGGACCGTAGCCTGACAGGCTCCTCTGTCCATGGGATTCTCCAGGCAAGAATACTGGAGAGGGTTGCATTCCCTTCTCCCAGGGATCTTCCCGACCCAGGGACTGTACTCGGGTCTCCGGCACTGCAGGCGGACTCTTTACCACCTGAGCCACCAGGGAAGCCAGGAACACTACAGGATGTGCGTATGGGATGCTATGAAATATCAGGCAGCAATAATAACAGCGAGGGACACAGAAAAGTTCATCATTTACTGTTTGGTGAAAAACAAAACTGGCACAAAACTGGGCACACACAGCCATATAGAAACACTACTGGTTCTGTGAAGAAGGGGGAATTTTTCTGTTTCTAAACTGAAATGTTGTCATTTTCATTATTAAAAATTTATACCAAGGACATAAGCTATGTTTAGTATCTTATACTAAAAAACGTAACTTAGTTGCCCAGTCGTGTCTATTTCTTTGCAACTCCAAGGACTGTTGCCCACCAGGCTCCTCTGTCCATGGGATTCTCCAGGCAAGAATACTAGAGTGGGTTGCCATTTCCTTCTCCAGGGGATCTTCCTGACTCAGGAATTGAACCCATGTCTCTTGTGTCTCCTGCACTGATAGGTGGGTTCTTTACCATTAGCGCCACCTGGGAAGCCCTTATACTAAAGATAGACATAACCAACTAGTAGGAAGACTTTGACAATAAGTAAATCTATTATGCAAAAAAGGCAGTAGTAAATACTAGAATAAAATTCCTCACCCAGTCAATGAAAGAGAACTAGATTATGAACTGAGCAACGTACTGGAAATGCAAGGTGTTAATAAGAAGAGAAAGTAACACATCTTGAGTTAGCATATTCACAGCCACCTTACAAGGCAAACAGAAGGCTGTATCAGTTTATCTCCACATTTCTTAATTCTAATGACCTGCTATTTCCACCCACATACCTTTACCTACATTTCTTACTCAATCTGACCCAGTGATTCCATTTTCTTACCTCAGCATGAGGAAAAGGCGGTTCTGGGAGATACACCTTAGTCTGTTTGTTGTGACAAAGCCTTTTAAAAAAGAAAACAGATCAGCACATGAGGCAGGGTGCCTAGAGGCATTTGCTGCTGCATAGTGGTTAAACAGTGCAAATACATGCTGAAGTTTATTTTCCTGTCAGTGACTCTCACTGTAAATAAAAAGCTGGCATTTATCAAGTAATCAGGACGTAAGTCTCTTGTGAGTGTATTTTTAACCTTTGGAATTCCTCAATACATTTTTTCCATTAAAACAGAAGCTTATTTTGGAGTAATTTTAGATTTACAGAAAACTTGCAGATAGTACAGAGTTCCCATATACCTTTCACCGTCTGTTTTGTTAAACTAAGACACTGACATCAGTACATTACAGTTAGTTAAGCTCTAGACTTTACTCAGCTGCCACCAGTTTTTCCACTGATTTTTTTTTTTTCTGTTCCAGGATCCAATCCAAGATACTGTGTTTTGTTTAGCTGTGATCAGTTTTTTGGCTGTACCACAAGGCTTGCTGCTAAGTCACTTCAGTCGTGTCCGACTCTGGGACCCCATAGACGGCAGCCCGCCAGGCTCCCCTGTCCCTGAGATTCTCCAGGCAAGAACACTGGAGTGGGTTGCCATTTCCTTCTCCAATGCATGAAAGTGAAAAGTGAAGGTGAAGTCAATCAGTCGTGGCTGACTCTTCGCGACCTCATGGACTGCAGCCCACCAGGCTCCTCCGTCCATGGGATTTTCCATGCAAGAGTACTGGAGTGGCAAGGCTTATAGGATCTTAATTCCCAGACCAGGGATTGAACCCACGCCTCCTGCAGTGGACGTACGAACTCCTAACCAATGGACCACCAGGGAATTCCAAAGTGATCAATTTTGAGTAGAAAGTAATTTTTTGTTGAGACAGATTTCTATTTTGTACATGTACCATTTCATAAATAGCAGAATTTGGTAAGTCAAACTGGAGAGTGATAAATCTCTCTAGGAACTGTCTTAATCCAGAGACACTGACTGTTTTAGGTAGTCTGTTTTTCCCTACTCAGACATGACATTTAAGACATGGAGATTTCTGGAAAAGAAAATGTGATAAAAAGTTAATCAAGGTATGTGGTGTTCTGCAGTTCTGACATTTTTAAAAGTTGGGGAAAAAAATACATGCAGTGATTGTCTGTTAGAACCTGCTTCGAAGACTCCTACTAAAGCAGAATTAAAGCATTTCAACAATTCTAACAGATATTACTTTTGATGGAATAATTCAGGACTCTGGGGGTCTAGGTTTTGTCTGAACTTCATTATAAAGTCTATTATCTAATTTTTCCTACCTTTGGTTGAACTCCACTTTAAAAACATCATTTTATATCCTTTGTGGAAGAAGATGTAAAATATAAAAACAAGATACTTTTTGAAGGGTTATTTATTAATATTGTCTAAAGGGACAATCAGTTCAGTTCAGTTCAGTTGCTCAGTCGTGTCTGACTCTTTGCGACCCCATGAGTCGCAGCACGCCAGGCCTCCCTGTCCATCACCAACTCCCAGAGTTTACTCAAACTCATGCCCATCGAGTCGGTGAAGCCATCCAGCCATCTCAGTTGTCCCCTTCTCCTCCTGCCCCCAATCCCTCCCAGCATCAGGGTCTTTTCCAATGAGTCAACTCTTCAAATGAGGTGGCCAAAGTATTAGAGTTTCATCTTCAGCATCAGTCCTTCCAATGAACACCCAGGACTGATCTGCTTTAGGATGGACTGGTTGGATCTCCTTGTAGTCCAAGGGACTCTCAAGAGTCTTCTCCAACACCATAGTTACAAAAGAATCAATTTTTCAGTGCTCAGCTTTCCTCACAGTCCAACTCTCACATCCATAAATTACCACTGGAAAAAACCATAGCCTTGAACAGACGGACCTTTGTTGGTAAAGTAATGTCTCTGCTTTTTAATATGCCATCTAGGTTGGTCGTAACTTTCCTTCCAAGGAGTAAGCATCTTTAGTAATGTCTTTATTTCAAACTCAGTAAGAGGGATAAATAAAAGAGCTTGGTTTAAAACTTTAATGTAGAGTGCTGCAAAGGATAATAGATCAATTAGCATCAATACATAGAAGTATAAAACTAAAATACTTCTGTCAAAAAAATTAAAGAGATAAATGCAAAGATGGGCACAATAAAGGACAGAAATGGTATGTACCTAACAGAAGCAGAAGATATAAAGCAGAGGTGGCAAGAATACACAGAAGAACTATACAAAAATGATCTTCATGACCGAGACAACCATGATGGTGTGATCACTCACCTAGAGCCAGACATCCTGGAATGCGAAGTCAAGTGGGTCTTAGAAAGCACCACTACTAACAAAGCTGGAATTCCAACTGAGCTATTTCAAGTCCTAAAAGATGATGCTTTGAAGTGCTGCACTCAATATCCCAGCAAATTTGGAAAACTTAGCAGTGGCCACACGACTGGAGAAGGTCAGTTTTCATTCCAATTCCAAAGAAAGGCAATGCCAGTGTTCAAACTACCACATAATTGCACTCATCTCACATCCTAGCAAAGTAATGCTCAAATTTCTCCAAGTCAGATTTTAACAGTACATGAACTGAGAACTTCCAGATGTTCAAGCTGGATTTAGAAAAGGCAGAGGAACCAGAGATCAAATTGCCAACATCTGTTGGATCATCGAAAAAGAAAGAGAATTCCAGAAAAACATCTACATCTGCTCCACTGACTATGCCAGAGCCTTTGACTATGCGGATCACAACAAACTGAGGAAAATTCTTAAAGAGATGGGAATACCAGACCACCTTACTTGCCTCCTGAGAAATCTGTATGCAGGTCAGGATGTAATAGTTAGAACCAGACATAGAACAACAGACTGTGTCCAAGCTGGCGAAGGAGTACATTGAGGATGTATACTGTCACACTGCTTATTTAACTTATATGCAGAGTACATCATGAGAAATGCTAGGCTGGATGACACACAAGCTGGAATCAAGACTGCCGGGAGAAATATCACTAACCTCAGATATGCAGATGCCACCACCCTTATGGCAGAAAGTGAAGAAGAACTACAGAGCCTCTTGATGAAAGTGAAAGAGGAGAGTAAAAAGCTGACTTAAAACTCAACATTCAATAAATTAAGATCATGGCATCTGGTCCCATCACTTCATGGCAAATAAATGGGAAACAATGGAAACAGTGACAGACTTGATTTTCTTGGGCTCCAGAATCACTGCAAATAGTGACTGCAGCCAGGAAATTAAAAGACGCTTGCTCCTTGGAAGAAAAGCTACAATCAACCTAGACAGCACATTAAAAAGAAGAGACATTACTTGGCTGATGAAGGTCCGTCTAGTTAAAGCTACAGTTTTTCCAGTAGTCATGTATGGATGTGAGAGTTGGATCATAAAGAAAGCTGAGTGCCGAAGAATTGATTCTTTTGAACTGTGGTGTTGGAGAAGACTCTTGAGAGTCCCTTGGACTGCAAGGAGATCAAACCAGTCAACCCTAAAGGAAATCAGTCCTGAATATTCATTGGAAGGACTGATGCTGAAGCTGAAACTCCAATACTTTGGCCACCAGATGTGAAAAACTGACTCATTGGAAAAGACCCTGATGCTGGGAAAGATTGAAGGCAGGAGGAGAAGGGGACAACAGAGGATGAGATGGTTGGATGGCATCACCGACTCAATGGATATGAGTTTGAGCAAGCTCTGGGAGTTGGTGATGGACAGGGAGGCCTGGCGTGTTGCAGGCTATGGGGTCAGAAAGAGTTGGACACGATTGAGCAACTGAACTGAAATACAATGTGGAGGACTCCTCTGGTTCAGTGACGCAGTGCCTAAGACACAGTGCTCTCAATGCAGGAGGCCCAGGTTCAATCCCTGGTCAGGGAACCAGATCCCACATGCTTTAGCTAAGTGTTCATATGCTGTAACAAAGACCTGGTGCAGCCAGATGCATAAATATTAAAGATGAATGAACCAATGGAGCCATGTGGTGCCCTGGACTGGATCCTGGAAGAGGAAACAAGCATGAGTGGAGTAACTGGTCTAATATGAATAAAGACTGGAGTTCAGTTAATAATACTGTGCTTATGTTAATTTCTTAGCTTTGATACAGAATGCATGACCATGTAAGATATGAACATTGGGGGAAACATGAGTAGAGGGTATATGGGAGTTTCTGTACTGTATCTGCAACCTTTCTATACTTAAAATTATTTACTAAAAGGAACAAGTTATTACTGAAAAAACAAAATCAAAAGACAAAACTGAAAAAAGTGCCAAAATGGGAAACAATATCTGTAGATATAACAAAGCATTAGGATCTTTAATACATATATAGGCTTCAAGTAAATAGATAAAGGTACAACACCTCTGATATGTTAATAGGCAAATAAGGAATAATTTACAGAAGACATAAACATTTTTCTGGAAAGCAATTTACATTTGTATAATGAACATTAAAAAATATGTATACCTTTTGTTCCAGTAATAGCATTTTTTGTAACTTACCCAAAGCAGATGTAGTCATAAATATACAGAATTATATGAATTGAAAATTTATCACTAAAAGGAAAAAAACTGGGAAAAGCCTGTCCACTCCATAAGACAATAGTTACGTAAATTATACTATGTATAAATGATGAGTGATGATGTCATAATGCAGTCAAGGAAAAATGATGGTATCAAAGATTTTCTAATGCTCTAATCTAGTATTGGGCTTCCCTGGTAGCTCAGCTGGGAAAGAATCCGTCTACAATGCGGATTAAAAAATTTAAAAGCAGGATTCACAATTAAATGTTCAGTATGATCCCTATATAGAAATATGAAATACATCAGAATCTAATAGTGACATTATTTCTGGTAGTGGGATCATGGGTTCAGATTATTTTTACTGTTCTCTGTAACTTTCTTTTTCTCTAGTAAACATATATTACACTCATATTAAAAACAAATAACAAAAAACAGGAAGTCAAAAACAACCTACTCTTACTAGTCCCGAGTCCTACCCCATTAGACATTCTGACAAGAGTGGATTGTAAGGGCAGACACCCAGTTAGGACACCATCCACAGGGGCCCACAGGGCTGGCCCTGGAGCTTGCCTTGTTCAGTATTTTCAGCTGAGGGTCTGGACGAAGACGTTCAGAACACGCTGATAAACGTTCAGTGATCCTTATGTGGACTGCCAGTTATTCAAGATTACCTTTCCATAATGGGGGAGAAGAGACTTCTAATAAAAGAAGAAATTCAATAGCCACCAAAAAAAGTGACCTTTTATTGTCAGTCACTAAGTCAAATATAATATAAATAACACCAAAAAGTCCTATGAACGACCATGAATAATATGCACGTGGGATGGAGAAGCCTGTCTGAATTTAAAAGCAGAAAAAAAGGGCCTTGAGTACAACTAAAATGCGAAGAGAAAAACGATACTTAAACGCGGGGCAGGCAAGCACAGCACCGGGATGAGTTGTACAAATGTTGTAAGCAGCACAGTTGCTGTTCAGATGCTTTCAGCACATCAGGCTTCCCTGGCCTTCACTATCTCCCAGACTGAGTGAACGCTGCACAGAATACTGTACACATTCCTTTCAGATCAGAGGCTTTGTAAACTACTGTGTCCACCAGGTCATCACACCAGTAGATGGGATTAAGCACACCTGTATGACACAACCCCATCCTCAGGTACCATTAAGTCCGGTGTGTAATTTACAGTATTTCCTCCTACCCCTGCCTTTTTGTGGCCATGTGAGTTAGAATCCAACACCCATCTAAACAATCCTAAAAAGGTTCACCCACTTCATACTGTACTTTACCCATCCGAGGATTTGATCAAATAATTTCCTGTTGTAATAAAACACTGTCACCAAATATACTATTGAAATGGAAAAATAAGCTAGTCTTCCTCATAAGATGTGGTATTAAAAATTTCAGAGAACATGAGCTTGGGTCTGAAACTTTTTTTTAGCTTTTAGAATGTAACTGCACTTTGTAACAGACAGAGGGGAGCATGTGAGAAGGTAAGTGTATAACAGTTTTGTTGTTCATTTGGAAACTGCTGGCCAAGTTACGTCTTTGCCTTTCCTCCTTCCCTTCTTGATAACAATTCTCCTAAATCCTAGCAAAGTAACTGCTCTGGGTTTCAATAATACAATCTTCATATCACAGAGGGGGTGAAAAAAAATGAAGGTTTCACAGTAAGGTGAGAAAAAATAGGATTATTTCTATTTCTTTTAAAATTAAAACTAAAAAGCTTTCTCTTTTCTTACAGCTTGAGTGTAGGTATCACAGGATAAACAGAGACCTACCACTCGGCAAAAATCTGTGAAAACTCCAGTGAACTGTTAGCCACTGGGGAGATGAAGTAGAACGGGATGCTGGAGAGGCCGGCCGAGTCAATGTACTGATACAAGCACTCCAGGAGGTCATAGATCACTCCAGAAGGGTAGCAGGGGACCAACACGTTTCCTCCGTTCCGTACTGTCAGTGCTAGAAGGGTGGAAGCCACATGACACCGTAAATCAAACAGACTTCAATAATATTAAAAACAAAAAAGAAAAAAGAAAAGTTGAGGCCAGAGTGGGGAAAGTAGCATCCAAAGAACAGTTTTATACACGGAGGACAGAACTTTACAAATTCTGTTTGCATTTCTTTCATTTTTCCACTTCTGTTCCTAGGATTCACTTCATTTGGGTAACAATCAACTTTGGTTTTTTTGGGGGAAAATGTGCAAAAAAATTAATATTCTATCAACTGAGATATTTAGTGCAAAAAAGATTTTCATACCCATACATGAAAAAAAAATCATTTAATCTTTTCTCCACTTTAAATGAACAAATACACTATTTTCTTAAGCAAAAGTCATCAAAACAAAAATTTTAATCAAAATATAAAGAACAAAAGAAGATTTGAGTTCTTATTTTCAGTTGCTTGCTTCGTAGTTCAAACACCAATAAACTCAGCAGTGTTATAGTGTGCAGGTGGAGAAGAGCCTGAATTATTTTTTTAAAGGAACAATTTTAGTAAGGATCTCAGTCACTGGCCCATTCAACAAACAATTGACTTTAAAAAAAAATGAATTATTTATTTTTGGCCCTGCTGGGTCTTCATTGCTGGGAGGGCTTTCCTCTAGCCGTGGTGAGCCGGGGCTACTCTCCAGCTGTGATGCGCGGGCTTCTCACTGCAGCAGCTCTTCTTGCGGAGCACGGGCTCTAGGTCTTGGGCTTCAGTAGCTGTGACTCCTGGGCTCTTAGGGCACAGGCTCAGCAGTTGTGGAGCATGGGCCTGGTTGCCCCGAGGAATGCAGGAGCTTCCTGAACCAGGGATAGAACCCATGTCGCCTGCAATGGCAGGAGGATTCTTAACCAGCTAGACACCAGGGAAGCCCCAACAACTGACTTCTTTTGAAGACGAGCACCAGCGTGGGAGGGTCCAGAGGCTTACTGATGATCACCTGAGGGGTTAATCACATCTCAGGCCCTGGGACCAGGGTGTGCAGGGATGGGTTTGGGTTTTCAAGTTCCCAATGGCAGATGAGCTTCGGGACAGACCATCTCAGCCGCCTTCTCTTTTCAGCTCCTGCTCAGAACTTTGTTTCATTTGTTTCAGTTCGGTCTCTGATCATTGCTGAGTGACCCATAAGGAAATAGGCCAAGTTTTTCCGTTTGACTCATTCTAGTAGCATTTTCTTCCATGAGTGTTTTGTCTATAAGAAAATCCTCTGAACTTTAAACACTTAAAATCAGTTATCAAGTGAGGAATTGCAACTTATAACCAAAATCAGATTAGAAACTGTAACTGGCTGAAACAAGTCAAAGCTCTCAATTTCTTTTCTTGTCTAGTTTCCAATATAGATGAAAACAAGCAAAGTTAGGGCACAGAACCTGAACTCTCTGATGCCTTCTATCCCCCTGTATGTCCCCAACTCTCACATCCATGTTCTCCAAGCTGCTGTGCATGGAGGCCTGGCTGACCCGCTATTACTGGAGGAGGAACCAGGGAAAAGATGAGATGCAGGGCTCTAGTCCCACTCCATCTCAAGCTGTGGGACCTTAGGAAAGCCACTGCAACCTCCTGGGCCTTAGCTTCCTCATTACTTACGAGAGGTTTTCAAGCTTTCTTTTGTAGGGAAATTGCCAGAACATGTTAAAAATACAACTTCTCTACTAGGTCTCTTCTTTCCTCAGATAGTCTGACTGTGGCACAGCCTCAAAATTTGAGGCAGGTGGTTAGTGGACCCCTCTGAGAAACAGTGGGTTACATGGAAGGTTCTTTTAAGATCTGAAGCTCTTGGATTCCATGATTCTAGAGTTATAAACAAACATACAAACAGTCTCTTTGAGACCAGTCCAATTATTTTTCCAAGGTAAGAGTAAAGTGTTGTTTAGTTGTTCAGCCACGTCTGACTCTTTGCGACCCCATGGACTGTGGCCTGCCAGCCTCCTCTGTCTGTGGGGTTTCCCAGCAAAGAATACTGGAGTGGGTCACTATTTCCTGCAACAGGGGACCTTCCCAACCCAGGGATCAAACCTGCATCTCCTCCACTGGCAGGTGGATTCTTTACCACTGAGTCACCTAGGAAGCCCAAGAGTAAATTACTGGTGGAATAAAAAAGGCTACAACTATTGGCAAGGGAAAGTGAAATTTCACAGGCTAGTGCCTTCCATGTAAATATTAGAAGACAACCACTTCCCTCCCCCAGAGCTGAGGTAACAGGGTTGAGGGGCCTGAGCTCATGAACTCCTCTTTGGTAACAGTTATGGAATGAATGTGTCCCCTGAAGTTCATATATTGAAGCCCTAACCCTCAATGTGACAGTGTTAGCAAGGGGATCCTTTGGTAGGTGACCATGTCTATATGAGGTCATGAGGGTGGTGCCCCCCGTGATGGGATTAGTGCCCTTATAAAAAGAGGAGGAGGCCCCAGGGCAGCCTTCCTCTGCCATCTGGGGACACAGCCAGAAGGCTGCTGTCTGTAAGCCAGACAGGGTCCTTGACCAGAACCCAGCCATGCTGGCCACTGCATTCCTGACATCCTAGCCTCCAGAACTTTGAGAAATGTGTTGTTTAAAGCCATCAGCCTTTGGTATTTGTTACAGTAGCCTGAGCTAAGACAGGAAGCAACCTACACATTTCTAGAAGAAATACAGCATTTCTAGACTTTATTGACAATTTATTCCAAAGAAGCATACATTTATTCCAGGAGCAAATACTCAACAAGTCTCTCAATTTTAGTTCCCCCCACCCAAAGAAGAAAAAATAATACCAAGCAAATATTTTTTGGGAAAAAATACACCTGTTCAATGTATCCCTGTTGTGAATTCAAAATATTAACAATCTTTTCTGTGCTATTATTTGCAAAGCAAAGACAGGATTATTCCCATCTTTAACTCTGTTTATCCTATAAGCACCACTGACCCACCTGCAAAATCCACCAAAAAGCAAAAAAAGTAAGAGTTTCTATGTAAGTGGGAGAATGTTGAGCATCCGTTGTATAATTGCTAAAAATTCAAATTTACTGTTATAACCACCATTCTTATCGTTCCTTCAGATTTAAGTTGCTTAAGAATTGCTTTTGTTGACAACAGTAGGTTTTGAAGGATAAGCAGAAAGCGTGGAAATAAATGAGGGAAAAGGTCGTAATAGGGGGCATCAGAGGGTGTCCATATGAAGCAAAGGGACAAAAAAGTACCATACGAGCAGGGTGATCAAAAAATAAATGTAAACCATTTCCTCCCATGTAAGACTTTCCCTGGACACATACCTAGGTTGCTGCAGAACTCACCCACCATGCCATCAGGGTTTGCGGTGGGAATCTGGGTAAGGCCTGTCAGGATGAGGACATCGCTGTTTTTGAGAGATGCCTGGTCCATGGGCTGAAAAACCACAGAGAACTAGTCTTAGTAATTAAACAAAAAAAAGGTTAGGTATCAGAAGTAAATGAAAAAGAGAACACAACAATGGTCTTTCCAGGTCCAACTTGTCAACAGGTCATCTCCCTTCATTTTACAACATGCCTACAACTGAAGAGTGTCTGCTCAAGGGAGATGGGTACCAGTGGGAGGGAACTTTACGGGGCGATGAAAACTCACAGAAGACTGGGGCAGGATGGATTCATGTGTATAGATGACCGAGTCCCTTTGCTGCCCACCTGAAGCCACCACACTACTAACTAGCTGTGTGCACGCTTACTGTGTATGCTCAGCTGTGTCAGTCTCTTTGCAACCCCAGGGACTGTAGCCCACCAGGCTCCGCTGTCCACGGAATTTTCCAGGCAAGAATATTGGAGTGGGTTGCCACTTCCTCCTCCAGGGATCTTTCTGACCCAGGGGTCAAACACGCGTCTGTCTCTGCACTGGCAGGTGGACTTCTTGCCACAGTGCCGCCTGGAACTCCATCATAAAGGAAAAGGGTTTTTTTTTTTTTTTTAAAAAGGATAAGGATAAAGGATTAAAAAAAGGATAACCCCCCAAAAATATGAAGAAAAAAAAAAGAAAAGCAGCTCTTTTTGTAAAGCCATGTTACACGTATCATCACAAATTTGACGGGGTCCTCTAATCCGAGCCTGTACCAGGATCACCTGGAGGTGGAGTGCTGCCCCCCACCCCAGGGTTTCTGATTCAGGTCTGAGGTGGACCCTGAGAAGATGTAATTTTAATGAGCTCCCAGGAGATGCTCCTGGTGGGGATGTGGATGGTGGTCTGGAGATCATGCCGTGAGATTCCCTGCACTGTACAGTCTGGTTCTCAAAACAGCTCTGCCACGTACAGGAAACTGGTAATGTTGTGGAAATACAGAGGTCGAGACTCAAAAAGCTGGGGTGCCTTTCCCCAAAAGTCAGTGGCAGAGGAGAGAGGATCCACTATCTGTGGATCAGGAACCAGAAATGTAAAGCCCCCCTTCAATTCAACTACCAGTACGGGACCTCAGCCAAGCCTCTGGGCTAGGTTTCTTATAAACTGATCTGTCTCCCTTCAGGGATTTCTCAAGAGTCTCATGTGCTAAGTTACATGATCTTCCTGTAGCCTATGGAGTCCTATAGCACAATGTTATGCAATCCTTAGGTTGTTCTATTTTTGAATTTCATTTTGACTGCTTTCAGAGCATTTAAAAAAAATACAAAGTAGTTCTTCCAAATAAATCAGGATTAAAACTGGAAACAAATATGAAGGCCCATGCAAGGACGTATTGTACAACATGAGGAATATAGCCAATATTTTATAATAACTGTAAATAGTAATCTTTTTAAATTGTATAAAAATAGGGACTTCCCTGGTGGTCCAGTGGCTAAGACTCCGTGCTCCCAATGCAGGGGGCCCAGGTTTGATCACTGGTCAGGGAACTAGATCTCACATGCTGCAACTAAAGATCCTTCATGTTTCACTGAAGATTGAAGATTCCACATTCTGCAACTAAGACCTGATACAGCCAAATAAATATTTTTTAAAACTGCATAAAAATAAAAATTTTAAAGTATTTAATAAGAGGAATAGAAAGGGGAAAAACAGAAGGTCCAAAGGGCGAGATGCTAGAGAGCTCGTCAATGTTTTCATTTTGTAATGTATCTTTTGCTCAATTTCATTTAACCTACTCACTAGAACATCAGAAGGAAAAAACAGGAGGGATAAACATTATCCCTCCTCTTTCCTATCCAAATTTCTCAGTAAAATTTCAAACAGCAGTGCAGCCAAGAACCACCACCTGCATTGCTATCTCTGAGTCCACGTGCCTTTTGATGTATCATCCTTCAGCATCTTATATCTGCATGGACATAAGGGATTCATTACTTTTTTAAAATAACATGATTGTGGTTAGGTAAGTTGCTTAATAACGTGAAAAGCATTTTTTAAAAACATGGATACAGGAGATGTACGGTTGTGACAATTATGTTGAGCAGCTTCTAACTGTTATTTGCACAGATACACAACAATGCGTGTAAGAGCTTTTCTTCTGCTCAGGCAGAACTGACCTGCGTATTTGCCTTCTCAACAAACACGCATATGTTCATTGTTTCCAGAAAAGGAGGGAAGGGGAAGTAAAGCACAGAGGTTTATAGTAACTGATGTGTGAGAAGCCTGGGAATGCTCACTGTGCATATGTCAAGCAGAAGGAAACTGGAATGGTGATCAAAGGTATCAAGCTTTGTTCGGTAGTATATTTAACTTATGGATGAGAAGGGCTTTCCAGGTGGCTCAGATGGTAAAGAATCTTCCTGCAATGCAGGAGACCCCAGTTTGACCCTGAGGTCATGAAGATCCCTGGAGAAGGGAATAGCAACCTACTCCAGTATTCTTGCCTGGAGAATCCCATGGATGGGGTAGCCTGGGGGACTACAGTCCGTGGGGTCGCAAAAGGGTCAGACACTGAGCAACTAAAACAAAACAAATCAGTATTCTTGCCTGGAGAATTCCACAGAGGAGCCTGGCGGGCTACAGTTCATGAGGTCACAAAGAGCTGGACATGACTGAGCATCTAACACACTCACACACACATACACACACACTTAGCTTAAAAGGACAATTTTATAAGGACCTTATCAGAACAAGCCACTAATGATTCACAGGGCTGATAGGGGATTCAGAGGCCCTCAGAACCTCCTAAAATGGTACATACAATTCTGTCTCCCTATATACATTCTCCCACAGAGAATCAGGTTGTCATTTGGGGCCATGATCTCCAAAAGGTTAATTACAGATAACTAATCTAAACAATGACTCAGGAGCAATTCTGGCCTTGAAAACACAATCATCTCTGAACCTCAGCTATTACCACCACATTCCTTTAAAAATTAAATGCCCATAATAAAAAACAAAGGCAGTGCTACAACATGACTAGCACCAATCTGGATGTTATAAAATACTTCATGATTGAGTCACACTGGATGTTCACAGATTTAGCCCTGTAACTCAGACATTTCTTGTGGATTCCTCAGTTCGGTTCAGTTGCTCAGTCGTGTCTGACTCTTCGCGACCCCATGGACCACAGCACACCAGGTCTCCCTGTCCATCACCAACTCCTGGAGTCTGTTCAAACTCATCTCCATTGAGTTGGTGATGCCATCCAACCATCTCATTCTCTGTCGTCCCCTTCTCCTCCCGCCTTCAATCTTTCCCAGCATCAGGGTTTTTTCAAATGAGTCAGCTTTTTGCATCAGATGGCCAAAGTATTGGAGCTTCAGCTTCAACATCAGTCCTTCCAATGAACACCCAGGACTGATCTCCTTTAGGATGGACTGGTTGGATCTCCTTGCAGTCCAAGGGACTCTCAAGAGTCTTCTCCAACACCACAGTTCAAAAGCATCAATTCTTCAGTGCTCAGCTTTCTTTATAGTCCAACTCTCACATCCATACATGACTACTGGAAAAACCATAGCCTTGACTAGACGGACCTTTGTTAGCAAAGTAATGTCTTTGCTTTTTAATATGCTGTCTAGGTTGGTCATAACTTTCCTTCCAAGGAGCAAGCATCTTTTAATTTCATGGCCGCAGTCACCATCTGCAGTGATTTTGGAGCCCAGAAAAATAAAGTCTGCCACTGTTTCCACTGTTTCCCCATCTATCTGCCATGAAGTGATGGCACCGGATGCCATGATCTTAGTTTTCTGAATGTTGGGCTTTAAGCCAACGTTTTCACTCTCCTCTTTCACTTTCATTAAGACGCTCTTTAGTTCTTCACTTTCTGCCCTAAGGGTGGTGGCATCTGTGTATCTGAGGTTATTGATAGTCCCACACGTCACATCCAGCCTTCTGATGCCAATTAGAGCCCACTTGGGTCTCCTTGATCCCCAGTGGGAAGGGATGTGCCCTGCTTCTGAATCCCCACAGCCCTTGACTGGATTTCTAACCTGACAGGACCCATCACCTGTACCCTGGAGAAAGTCCTTTGGGCACCCATATTCTTCCTCTACAGTAACCGGTGTAAACCTAGCACCTCCCCATTTATGTTTCCCTTACAGTCGAGCACAGCCCACTGTCCAAAGCAGGAGGTTAAGAAACACCACAGACGAGATGAGGAAAGGAAGGCGTGAACAAAGAGATGAAGGCATATAAGCAGTGCACATTAACTCAGAGGAGGAAACACTCTGCCAGGTTAGAAACCAAACAGCATGTGTAGAAAGAAGAAGACAGGAGCCCATTAAGTGGTCCAGTCTCTCCCTCCTGGCTTCATGGTATCTGTTTCCCGAGTCCAATCCTTCAGGCCAATCACGAACTCTTCGTGGCTCAGCTTCCTCACTGCTACTGCCCTTAAATATATTAGGTTTAGCTCTCACTGGCTGGCACCACCTCACCAGTAAGGACAGAGCTTTGTCTCCTCAGGACTGACCCGAGGAGGCTGAGGCTTCGGGACAACTTGGGGCCATGTCCATGGAGAGGAGAAAGCTTCTTGTGGCCCTGGCAGCTAAGGTGGGGAGCAGTATGTGGTGATTTGTCCCAGACATCTTTCTTAAATAACATTTTGGGGACATGGCTGTGTCCTTTCCCAGGAGGAGTGGGCCCTTCGTGGACATATCTGAGGAACCGCTGCAGAGAGATGTGTTACTAGAGACTCAGTCATCTGGTCTTCCTAGAGGAACTGAGACCCGAAGAAGAGAAGTGATTTTTTCAGACTGCCCCCTCTTGAAGGGTCAGTATTTGGCCCAGGCCTGGCTCTCTCGTAGTGGGCTCTGATGTGACAGAAGACAGAGGAGAACGGAAACCCAGGTGTTTCATGGGGCCAGCTGATCAGAGGCGCAAAGGCAGCTTCAACTGGCTATACTGAAGGCTGGGTTCTGTGGATGCAGGAAAATGTCTTTGTGTTGACCTTCAGCTCTACCCTGGGCACCATGTAAGCAAGTGGTTTTAATCCCCTGTGTTCTGGATCAGGGAAAGTCAGACAC